TGGACCACATAATTGAACTCTTCAGGTTTTCCATCCTTTGTCTTTAGCTGTTTACATCCGAAGGGTACTGAAAATCATCACTAGTTTCATGACCTAAGATACAATTGGAAACTAATTATTCAGTAATCCTAGCTCAGGGGATGAGACTGACATCAGTTTATTGTTCAAAGAACGGCTATCATACTTTTTCTGCAGATAGATCTTACTTAGATCTATCTACCAATTCTTTACTAGAATTGGTAGTAGGGTTTTTAGAACCTGGGTCCTGATAACTCCAATAATCCAGGTTTGATCACTCAACTTTATTAAAGTCAATTAAAGAAATAAGTAATAATGAAAAGCAGAAAAATTAGATTTACTCAGGGGAGGGGTCACATTGGGATGAGGGAAAAGTGATGAATCCGTGTGTATCCTAAGAAGAGGGGACAGTTAAAATAGAAGGCATAGTTATGCAAGAATCAACAATCTGTTCAAGTGTTGCATAGCAATTTCCTTCAACTGAAGCAATCCATCCCAGAGGGAGGGTCCCTAAAACTCAGAAATTAAGAAACTCACAAATCTTAGGAAATTTCCCAGCACTTACAAGTTTCACTAGGCCTCTTCCTGCCTCTTCCACAAGGTTATAAACTCAGGAACACTCTGACCTGTCAAACTCACTGCAAACTGTTCAGTGAGGTATAGGCATGCAATGCTCACAGTTTTCACCCATAATGTAATGGGGGATACAGCTGCCTCCCTTTGAGTTATCTGTGTCCTGCAAGTAATTTCTAACCCACAGTCCTGTAAGTAAATTCAATAAACTCACTGATTCACTAGTATAGACTTAGACAGACTCATTTCTTCAGTCTATATTCCCATACCCTATCTAGGACAAATGAACTTTCATTTTCATATCTGGTCAGGAAATATCACACAATGCAATTAGTGCCCAAACTGACAAAATTGAAGGTGAGGTAGGGAAGAATGTTCTCATGGACCTGCATTGGGTGATGGGTTATATAAAATGATTTGTGACAAGTCCACAGGGGTGATCCAGATATGGCTGCTTTTCTCCATGTGATGTGGGATCCTGTGCCTCCCTCTGTAATGGATTCATGCTTACTGAGATAAGTGATTGGACATGAAATCAAGGCCAAGTCATCTATGAGAATGATGTCTTTGGAAAGAATCCCAGACTGGCCATCTTTATCTCTGTGACATTTCCATCAGAGGATATTGTTATTCCATGTATAAAATGACTCTAATGAATCTGGTAATGGGAAGGTCTTCCATGAAGAAGAAAGTGAGAACCATCTGCCAAAGAATGTCTCATTCAGTGACTCCAGCATATATTTTTAACAGGGATTCTTCAGCTGTTCACTGCTAAATATTGTGAAATAACTCTGATAATAACTACTTATCTGCTACCTATCTTTGTGTACTACTTCTACACTTTCTCCATCAAAAGCAAGACTATGGTAGATCATTCTCTTGACCATATACAATGCAAAGAGATTCCTAGCTGACGTGTTTTTTACCTAACTCTGTTTTCTCTTTTCTCTTTTTTTAAAATCTTTTAACTATTTTGCATATTTTTGTTGAATTTTTGTGCATTTCACACAAAAATTCTTAACAATCTTTATAATCCTTTCCCCATCTGTACTTCCTCAATGCTCCCCACCACACTTCATACATTTTGTAATACATCTTAAGTCTTATTGAGTGAAATTTGTGTACCCAGATGTTTCTTAGTGAAAGTTCATGTACTGGAGTCTAGTCAGCCTATCTAGAATCTCCCCCTTAAAGGAGATCAGCTCTCCCTCACTCAGGAGTAATCAGCTGCCAATAGTTCTTCAGCTAAGGTTGGGGTCTGCTGCCCATTTCCCAGTTCTGTGCTGGGTTTTTGTCTGATTGAATTTTTATGGATCTTGTGCATCCTGTAAGTAGAACTAAATATTTGTTGAAAGAATAGGAAGATTTGTAGTGAAGAGTGATTTCCATATGAAGATTATGATGGATAGATATTTTTCCAAAGTGGAAAAGAAATGCCGGAAAGCCGAAACAAGTCTTGAGGAGCTAATTTATTTAAGGACTGAAATAAGGTACGAAAAGTTTAAAACTTAGAGATTGTATATATATGGCATATAGTATATATTTATAATATTTTGCATCATATATAATATATGTTATTAAATTCTGTAAAGTCAAAGCTCAAAACATTGTTATCAAAGGTCTACTAAAATCTAGAGAATTCTCTTAAATTATTGATCTGTCATTAGAAACAGCTGTAAGTACTGGCCTAAAAGAACAAAAGTATTGGGCTGGAGAGATGGCCCAGCAGTTAAGAGCACTAACTGCTCTTGCAGAGGACCCAGATTCAATTCCCAGCAACCACATAGCAGCTAACAACCATCCACAACTCCAGTTCCAGGAGATCTGATGCCTTCTTCTGATCTCTGTGAGCATTGCATGACACAGATGCACTTATACATGTTCAAGGAAAACACTTAAACACGTAAAATAAAACCATATCTAATCAAAATTTATTTTAAAATGTTTTGAGTTTTTTTCCAAAATTTATCTAAGTGCTTCACAAAAGTTAAACTGGTGTATGTGACCTGCTAAGTGTTCAATAATCATACTTGGAGGACTATAGTAATGTCATCAGAGGGACTAAAATGGGCAATATTTTGACCCTTGCATTCCCCAAAGTGAACTAGATTCCAGGAGACCATGAAGCACCAATGTCTCAAAATGTCTCATACCTCTAGTAATCTTGAAGACTCTGCTGAGTGAACTCTAATCTGTGTAAATCTGCAAAAATGGGAGTATTCACAGAGGAAACATCCTCAAAGCTCTCAAGAAGAGATATGGTCTATTAAGGCCTTGAACTCATTCTCACATAGGTAAAACAACTGGCCAAATCCCTCTATGCACCCAGTGTCAGTCTGAAGCAGTCTGATTGACTCAGTGTCTGTCTCTTAAATATTTTTAAGATCTCAACTCTTGAGGGAAGAAGCTTAGGTAGGTGGACAGATGTTAAGAGGCTTTGACTCTCTCTTCCGTCACAGCATTCTGCTCCAAAATTTCTGAAACCAGAGAATTCCCTAAAACTCCCTGCTGTTAAGGTCAAATTCTCAGTCACTCCAAAATGAACCTCAACAATGTCATTGATCAGAACCTGACAGTCCAAGAGATGGGTTGCTAACCTGCTATAGTTCTGTAAAACAGCAAGAGTCTCTATCTTCTTGAGGGCCTCCATGGAGCTATCTGTGTGTTCTTTAAAAAGACAATGCTTCTTCTTTAGCAATAAGTGAACTCTCCTAGAAGATGGTGCACAGATGCTAGAGACAAAGCCATAATGATTTAGCAAGCTTCCAATGCATGGCTAACATTTTCACTCTCTTGTTTGCTTCCTTTGGTTACCCCTTTTATACTAATTACTCTAGGGCTCCTCTTACTCTCCTGTTTTATTAACCTCTTAAAGAAGATTTTGACCAATTGGATCATTGCAATTTCCCAAGGAACCTTCAGTAACTCAATAAAACTATCCTCATCTTTCATGGCCTTTGTTCCCAGAAACTTTGACTCTCCCTGAGAGAATGCATTATCAGAGACATTTCTCCCTCCTCCTCAAAAACCATAGAGCTTGAAATGTGAATAATGAGAACAACTCAGAGGCAACCTTGACCCAGCCCTCTTCCCTCCCATGAATTGCACTCCAGACCATTAATATCACTCCATTAACACTACCTGGCAAATGGAATTTAACCCTTTAGACTCCCCAGCCCAATTAAAACCCTGGCCTGTGAAAGTACTTCATCTCTCCCCTTTACTGTGGAGAAGCTTTCTCAGGTTCATCCGCCATCATGATCCACCTTGCTCCTCATCTTTCTTTTCTTCTTACACAGTGAGGAACTGCTTTTTTAATGGAAATAATAAGCTTATATGAAATGAATAAAATAAATACTCTGGGTAGAAAAATAATCCAAGTTCATTACAGTGCTTAGTGACAGAATGTTTTTACTCTATTGTGTTATGTTTAATTATTAGAGCTCTAATTACTATGATTAAAATAGTTCAGTGTGTTGTGATTGTATTTGATGAGAATTACGTACACACTCTTTTCTCCTTTGCAGTTGCTCTCCAGAGACTTTACTATCCCTTGTCTGTGGTGGAACTCTCCATTTTTCAACCTATTTGATAATCATGCCAATGCTTTAATATTGTATTGTTCAATAGTACTCAACATTTACAAAGACATTTCAACCATTTATTAACTTCTAAATATTTTAAATACTTTCAATATATAAGTACTTGGTAACAAAAATTTATAGTTATTTCTATTCACTAATAATCAATATGAAAAAATTTCAGGATATTAAAGTCTCTGGAGA